ATTTTAACACAGTTGTGGTTGCCAAATTTATGGCTTGACAAGATTGTTACCTTTAACACACTCCCACTGGCTGAGTTTTACTTGTTTACTTCTTTAGTTTCTGTGGCAGAGAAAGAAGTGACTGCAATTCTTGGCTTGGTATTAAGCATACCCAGATAATGGTCAGTTATTTTCAGTGTGTATATATATTTTAAAAAACAATGAAAACTGGCAAGCTTACAAGTCCTGGAGGGAGTAAGAATTGATTGTCAGTTAAAGTTGATTTCTGCAAATCCTATTTATCCTGAACTACACCAGACTCCCCAACCCCCACACCGCATACAAATGGAATGGATGACAATTTGATAGTGCTTGGTTGTATTCACAGAGCAGTGTTCATCAGTGATGCAGAATGTTACTTCACAGGGAGAGAAGAAAACAAAGAAAAGCAGTCACAATGTGGTGGTGTTCCGTGGCAAAACTGGACCAGTCCTGCAAACCCACATTTGAGTTTATGTTTATAGGAACAGGGGCTGCATACTTTGTAATTCAGAGAAGACCAAAGTAGTTTAGAAAGATATTTATTTTCTGGTTCTTAAGATGATATTGCAAATATTACAAACAACAAGTAGTACAACAATTAAAAGTAAAAATGATTTAAAATGTGTAGCTGTCCTTATTAAAAAAATAAATTATGATTATAGATTCCAATCTTGCTTTCATAGTCCAAAAACCAACATAACACTATAAACTGTAGTGTTTTAGACCATTAGGATAGAATGCTATTGAATTATTAAGGGTATTAGAGTGTGCTTAATTAAATGGAGACAATGTAGCTCAAACTTTTGACCCTCTTCACCCATGTGAAAATAAACTATGCTGCAGAAATGTGCAATTCAGATATGTGGCAAATACTGGAACAGTCCTGGGGGATGGTATGAAAACTCCTAATTTGCTGACATGCATTTCTGATCCTGTCTGATTCTAAGTACAATGGTATAGGTCTGATCCAAAGCCCGTTACTTTTCATTTACTTCAAAGACTTCTGAATCAGCCCCTACAGGACCCAACTTTATGGGTCCATAAATTGACAATGCATCAAGTGACATTGATTTAATCCATGTGTATTAATGCATACCTATACAAATAGGAAAGACTGCATCATAAATGTAGAAATATTATATTTCTGAATTCTAAAGAACCTATCATTGATAGTGGAAGATATAATATTACACGTATATTTTCTGTCTTATCTATCAAATTTATTTGCCCATCTATCCTAAATATGTTGGGTCAGATCCTGGGTCCCACTATTGTGTTTTAATTTTGCCAGTGGCAGATCTAATAGCTGTCCTAATTGAGCTGGTCAGGATTCCTTGGGTGTGGTCAAATTCACCACTGGTTTAAAGCTAGAGTGACTGGTTCTACAGCAAGAGTTTTCCAACCTCCTTGACATAGGAGTGTTTTGGGAATGAGAGATTCATTGTGGGTGTGGCTGGAGCATATTTGTGGAAGGTGTGGTGAGAATGATCAGTGTCTACTGAGTCAGAGAGCTCGGAGTTACCTGTTCTACGAAGAACACAGCTTTGTAGGGAGTTGCTAACTCTCTCTCATATTGCAAGTAAGTTGATGGTGATTTTGTGGACCTGTGGGGGGTTACTCTATGAATTGCTCAGAGTGGGTTTTATGGAGTCGGATGAGGTGATGCAGATATGCATATGTTGCTCAGTGGTGAGTGGTGCTGCCAGCACTGTAGTGATAGCAGCAACTCTGCTTCTGCAGGATCTGGAGGACTTTGAGATGATGTGATGGAGCAGGGAGTGGGGAGGATTGACCTGGGGATGTTGCATGGGAGTTTTGCAGGTACTGTCTGCATGGTGATGGGATATCAGGGTGTGACTTCACTTGAGGGATGATACCTGAGCATGTAACCTGAGCCCAGGAGGGGGATGGGGCCAGGCGACACCTTCTGCCCGGGAAACTGGACAAAGGCTGGAGGAGGAGCCGGGGGTGTGGCTGGAGGGGGTTTCAGTTTGGAGCTGGCTGGGGAAATGGAGGAGACCCGGGGCCGGGGTCCAAGCTCCCTGCCCCCCAATATGGACCTGACTGAGGGGGTCCCGTTGTCTGTACCTGCAAGACCTGTTTTGGACTGTGTTCCTGTCGTCTAAATAAACCTTCTGTTTTACTGGCTGGCTGAGATTCACGGTGAATCGCAGGAAGCGGGGGGTGCGGGGCCTTGTCTCCCCCACGCTTCCTGACAGTGCCTATAGGGCAGCAGTTGTCACCAAATCTCACTGGTGTCCTCCAAGCCCTCTTGCAGCCCTGGCTTGCTATAATATATATTTGTGAATGTGGGAGCTCTGTAAGATTGGACCAGATACAGCTGTGGGAGGACTATTTATTAATTCTTAGATAAATGGCCTTAAAGAAGGCCAGAAGGGAGCATTATGATCATCCAGTCTGACCTTCAGCATAACAACCTCACCTCACCCAGTAATTTCTGCATCAAACCTATAACTTCTGTTTGAGCTATAGCATGTCTTTTAGAAAGATGTGCAGTCTTGATCTAAAGACTTCAAATGATGGAGAAGTCACCACATCCCTAGGTAAATTGTTCCTATGGTTAATAAGAGAAATTTATTAGTGCAGTTGTATGGCAGGGTTGCTTGTGATGGTAGGAGGCAGGGCTCAACAGCCTTGGGGATCACTTCAGGTTTATGTCTTGTATTCCTAAAGCTCATGCTTCAGGGTTTCAGCAGGCCACTGGCAGAGGTCAGGAAGGGATTCTCCCCCAAGGTATTCTGGGAGAGTTTTTTTTAATCCCCTTCCACAGCTGGAGATGGGGAAATTGGGTGGGGTGGGCCAGGGCTTTGAGGTAGCACTGAGCATTCTATCTCTCAGCTGCTTGACTGGCTGGTTATTGCTCACAGTCTCAGGGTCTAACTGATTGTCATATGTGGGGTCAGGGAGGAATTTCTCCCAGGTAAGATTGGCAGTGACTTTGTGGGTCAGGGTGGTTCACCTTCCTCTGCAGCATATGAATGTGGGGCACTTGCCAGGATTATCTGGATATTTTTCACTTAATCATTTCCCTGCCATTGCAGGGGCCTCAAGCACTGGTGCATCTCAAACCCTCCTGTTTTCTGCCTGTGCCATATAACAGTCTAGTCTCCTGTGGGCTCTAATACTTTATTTCGTTGGGTTTCATGTGTAGCTGTTGGGTGGTGTTGGCGCCCGGTGATATACAAGAGGCCAGACTAGACAATCTAGTAGTTTCTTGTGATAGGGTATACAGACCCCACACTAGACAAGAGGGGGTTAAGGAGTTGCTCAGAACCCAGTTGACTTTGCCCGACCACACCTGCAAAGCCTGCACTGGCTTGAGGAGGAACTTATAAAGGGGAGCAGAGTAGGGTCAGTGGAAGGCAGACAGTGGAGGTGAGTTGATCTACATGCTAAACTCCTGGGAAGGAGCCCTGCAGGAGTTCTTGCTGCCTGAGGCCTGGCTGTATTGGTGTGACCAAGCCTACAAAGAAGGTGCCTGTGACTCTCTGAAGGTCAGAGACTTTATCTTTATGTTCAGTTCTTTACTTTACCTTGTGGGAAGAAAGGGGGCTTGTAAGAAGTGATCCAGGGAGGCAGCCACATAGTACCTGAGGGTGCAGGACTTAGCTACCTACCACTGGGCTCTGCAGCCGAGCTCAGTCGAGAGGGTAGGCCTGGGCTCTCCTACCACTCCCTGAAGAGGGACAACTATAAAAGCCTATCCCTCAGCGGGAAACCTAGTTGATGGAAATTCCTGAAGATACAGGAATCTGGACCATGAGACCCCAACCTAAGTGGGAAGCCCTGAATCCCTCATTTGATCCTGAAGACCTCCCTGTTCTTGGACTTCTTATATGTATCCTAAAAGGGGCGGACTTGAAACCATGACCAGGCTGAAGGTCTGAGGCATTGAACAGATAGACCACAAGTCTACAAAATCAGCATCAACTTACTTGCAATATGAGAGAGATCAACTGAGACAGCAACTCCCCACAAAGCGGCAGTCTAATTAATGCTGTAATACAGGGCCCATACCACCTCCCTGTTTTTACATCAAAGGATTGGGTTAGCCCTTTTAGCTACAGCATCACACTTGGAACTCATGTTCAACTCATTGTCTACCATGACCCCTAATTCCTTTTCATTGTCACTGCATTCCAGGATACAGTCCCCTGTTTTGCTTTCCAATCTGTAAAAGGGGGGTGATGATATTGACCTCCTTTGTAAAGCTCTTTGATATCTATCAATAAAAGGCAATATATAAGAACTAGGTATCAGCATTGTTTGTTCTTTGTAACCAGAGATCACCAGCCCCTGAAGTATTATATAAAGTTCCAAGAGCCTCCTCATGCTGCCAGCCAGGATACCAGCAGCACATACCCCTGCCCCTCCACCAAGGCTTTGGTGCTCTACACTCAGAGGGTATTCAGGTTATTTATTAGAGAGAGAGATGCTATTTGTGATTAGGGATAATTAGCTCTTTTATGTCAAACTTATTACCTTTCCCAGCAGAGTTCCAGAAATAAACCATACACCCCCACCCTATGGTGGATACTGAATAATAGGCAATGGGGATGGGATTTACTGGGGAGATATGAAACATGCCAAGTTCTCAGTCACTTTCAAGGATACTTCCTTATTTTGGATTAATGTTAAAGAAGTTATTTTCCAGCTCCCTGTTACAGTGACAGGTTTCCTAGTGTATGTCAATGAGACATAACATTTCACTCTACGTTTAAAAAAAATCATTTATTCAAATTGTCACTGTTTGAGAACAGTCCTGAAAGACTGAAGACATGGTTCAATGAAAAGTCCTTAAAACATTTTCTTTTCTACTATTAAACAAAAACACAGTAAATTTGATATAACAGAAAACAATCAGTGTCTGCTTCTATACCTCTAGACTAAAGAATGTTTAAAAAATATCCATTGTGACTCTTTTAAAGAACTGTATGATTTTTTTTTCCATATACAGAATGGGTGAGCTTGAGAACATACAAAACCTTCGTGAAAACTTCAAGAAACAAAATAAATCTTGTTTTATCCTTGGTGCGTCAGGAGCAACTGGCAAAGAGTTGTTAAAAGAAATTTTGAAACAGCAATTGTTTTCTAATGTCACCATCATAGGACGTAGAAAACTGACTTTTGAAGAAGTGGCATATCAAAATGTGGTACGTCATATAACTGGCATATTTGGTATCAGTTTTAACACTGCTTTATATGTTAATGTTTTCATGTTATTTTGTATCCTTATGTTTTAGAATCAACAGGTGGTAGACTTCGAAAAACTGGATGAATATTCTGCAGCATTTCAAGGTCATGATGTTGGATTCTGTTGTCTTGGTACCACAAAAGCAAAAGGAGGAGCAGTAAGCAAAAAAACCCCAACATTGCTTAGTTTTCACTTTGCAGAAGTATTGTACAAATCCCCTTGTTTCATTCTCTTCTTTCAATCAGCGCGGAAACAGTAGAACGGCTAACAACCCTCCCCCAACCCCCCACATTTAGGAAAATTTGGATTTAGTTCTGATTCTAGGTCAAAGCTTTACCATTTGGGCCCATGTTTTGTTTCACTCTTGTGAGTGATATTTGTCTTGTAAAGTAGATTTTTTGTACCGAAATTTCTGCCAGGGGCAGGGCTGGAATTAAATGTATAAAAGAAATATAGAATGTGGAAAAGATTTCTTTAAAAGAGATACTAAAGAATCTACTTTGGGGACCTTTTAAACATTACACTTCAAGTGGATACTGTCAAGTTAACTGAGCCTAAATGCAGAGCTGAAATTTCAGCATGACAAATTCATCTCTCTGAAACTTTACCTCTGTAATATTTCATTTGTAACTTGTGATGCAGAATTATCCACAATATGCACAGCCTCTGCCAAAACTGATGACTTAGGGTATGTCTACACTACCCGCCGGATCCAGCGGGGGTCGATTTATTGCGTCAGTCTAGACGTGATAAATCAACCCCCGAGCACTCTCCAGTCAACTCCTGTACTCCGCCGCCATGAGACGTGCAAGCGGAGTCGACGGGGGAGCGGCAGTAGTCGACTCACCATAGTGAAGACACCGCGGTGAGTAGGTCTAAGTATGTTGACTTCAGCTATGTTATTCACGTAGCTGAAGTTGTGTAACTTAGATCAATCCCCCCTCTTCCCCCAGTGTAGATCAGGCCTTAGAGAATATGTTCTACACTAAGGCCTACACTACACTGGGGGGGCGGGGGGGAGATCGATCTAAGTTATGCAACTTCAGCTACGTGAATAACATAGCTGAAGTTGATGTACTTAAATCTACTTACCGCGGTGTCTTCACTGCGGTAGGTCGACTGCTGACGCAGTGCTCAGGGGGAGTCGACGGGGGAGCAAGTTTCAGCGCTGTAAAGTGCCAGTGTAGACAGTGCACCAGTGCTGACAGCCATGTTCCCAGTGCTGGTAGCTATTCCCCTCGTGGAGGTGGGTTTTTTATAGCACTGGGAGAGCAGCACTTTAACATTGCTAGTGAAGACATGCCCTTAGTCATCAACATCATTGTGGTAAGGTGAAGCAAGTAGATTTTATGGGTAGGCGAGGCTGAATTAGTCAATAGATAGCATGTTCATAATGCCACCCTGGCTCATCCTCTTCTGACTTCAAAGAAGAAATGTTCATGACCCAATATACAAACAAATGGGCCATCAGAATGTACCAGGCTTTCCAATTGTTGAACATGGAATACATCATTCAGCAGTTAGTTAACTGTGTTGCCATTAATATACTGTAACTAGAAGTTTATTTTTTTGCTGTGGCTGTTTCATTCTGCCTGGCTGCAGACTCAACAAGAATGCACTATGTTATTGTATGGAGCAGGGGAGGCAAAAGAAAGATGTAGAAACTTTATTATTAGCATTTGGTTTTAAACGGAAGATTAGAAAGTAGAGGATCCAGTAGAAATCTTCATGGAGATCCTAAATCTATGGAGCTTTTTGTGCCAAAGTTTGATCATATTTAAAGTGTATCTTAAGTCTTTGAGAATTGATAGCCAGTTAAATGCAACATTAAAGACAACAGGCATTTTTGGCTGTTGAGGTTTTGCTCTCAACTAAAATGCCACATGCTGGAGGTGGAGGGAGGAAAACTCATCTGAATTTAGCAGCTTAGAAAAACGAATGTTTATAATCAGTTTGAGAGCTCAGTGGATTTCTGAAATCATTTGGGATTAACAGGCTATTGATTGCTAATAAAACAATATTTAGCTTTGTCCAGGGAACAGCAGTGGAAAAAACTTGTGGGCACCTTGTCAAACAGGACCCATTGAGGAGAGATGATGGGTTAAGTGTGGGGGTCTGAGTGGCAGCGTGGGTGCCAGTTCTTCAAGGAGAACTTGTCAGTTGTTAGTAAGGCTAGTGAAAGGAAGGACGCCAGCGTCTGATGGCTGGGGTAGTATTGATGCAAGTTAGCTGACTAATCAGATTGAAAAAGTCCCATGGTATTTATGTCACTTTAATTTTCATCAAACAATTGGAGACGACAGCACTCTATTAAGGAGAGGTTGATCCAGAACTAAAGCTAAATAAATTAGGGTCTCAGTTTAATCAAATTATCCCTTTACTGGCCTTGGATTAACTGAGAGAGACAGCGTCGGTCTAGGGACTTTTGATTGGCTAATTTTTTTTTTAGAAGCTGATACAAAGAATGAGAGATTTAACGCAGACGGCTACTACTCAAAATACTCCAAACAAGCACTTAAAAAGAAAGTTAGAATTAATATTTATCAGAAGCATTTGCAGTTTTTTATTGAGGGAAGCTTCTATTTTTTATTAGTTTTGTAAGGCAAAAATCTCCATTTAGTCTGAAGGGCTGAGGTTTTGTCACATTTACAAAACAAGACACATAACTCTGAAAGCATACCCAGAAATCTAAGAACTATCCTAATGCTACTATGTAACCTTCTGAGGAAGTTTCTCTTTTCTCCTAGATGGCGAATGACTTATAGATGCCTTGTTTATCTGCTTTTAAAATCTTCTGATTGAACAAAAATAAATTTTAGGAATTTACTTAACCATGGGTTAAATAACTTGAATATTTGGCTACTTTTTGTTTTCTATGTGCTTTTAAATTCTACATTGGGGACAGATAGAACCAACCTGTGCTTGCAGGAGTAGATCCTATGGTGTTACTTCAGTAGGAATTTAGGGCACTCCATATTTCTCAGGATGCACTCAGGATCTTTCAAGATTGGGCCGTTAATGAAGGAATCTGGTGTCTACAAAAGTGTGCTTTACAAAGATTCTGCTCAACTGCAGCGATAAAACAACCAACCTTTGAATCACTGATTTAAATAGGACTGGAAGGGAGCGCCTGAGTCATCAAATTCAGACCCCTGCTATCGCGGGCAACCCTTTGATAATAAATGTGTTAAGAGCAATCTTAAAACTACTTAGGTTGTTTGCCTCCCCCCCACCACCACCTGTTGGGAGGATGTTCCAGAATCTCATTCTAATGGTTAGAAACCATTTACCCATCCTTAGCTTAGTTAAGTATGAAATGATTTTCTAAAATGAAGTGCCATGGAATTTCCCTTCAGTCTTTGTTTCAAAAATGAAAGAGATTTTGAAGAAAACTGAGAGTCACTGAATTTGGTCCCACATAGTTTTGCTTTCCCCCACCCGACCCCACACACTTTCCCTTTTCTGTGGATTCTTCTGACCTGGCTTTAATCCAAGTAACTTTTTATCCTAGGATGGACTTGTTCGCGTTGATCGAGATTATGTTTGCATGTCAGCAGAGTTGGCAAAAGCTGGTGGTTGCAAACACTTCCTCTTGGTATCTAGCACTAGAGCTGATAAGCACAGCATTTTTTTTATTTTAAAAATCAAGGTTGGTCTAAATCTTATAATAATAATAATCTGGAGAAATTTCTGTATGGTTTAAGTGTGTAAAGTCAAAATTTCCCAGTGAATTGTTTAAGCAGTTATCCAAAGCGGGGGGTGGGGGTGGGGGGGACGACACGTTAACCAGGAGTAAAACTAAGCAAAGAAAAATTGGAGAAGATTCTTAGACAGCTCCAGTGATTGAGAAATTTAAAACTTGATTGAAAAAAAACACTAGAAAATGTACTATCAGAGATAATCCTGCACTGGCAGATGGATGGACTAGATATAAAGGGCCAGATTTTCAAGGTATTTAGATGCCTTAAGTTGCGGATAGGTGCTTCTGAAAATCCCACTAGGGATGGAATTCACAAAGGTATCTATGCACCTAACTCCCATTGAAATCAATGTCAGTTAGGTGCATAAAAAACTTTGTAATCCACCCTCGGTGCTGAACCTGGTTAGGTGCCTAAATATCTTTGAACATTTGGCCCAAGTTCTTTTTCATTTCTAATTTCTATGATTCTTTACAATTCAGCTACATTGTTGCTGTCTAGAGCTTCTTAGGATTCAGTTCTGTCCTCTTATGTGAATAAAATTCCCACTGCCTTCCAGAGGAGTTACACCAGTGTAACAGAGGACGGAATTGGCCCAGTGGGGCCACGTTTTCAAGTGCTCAACACCCACAATTTGGATCAGATTTTTAAAACACCTCAGTTCTCATTTATGCACCTAAATAAGGTCCACGCTTTCCAAAGTGCTTAGTGCCCACCAGCTCCCATTCCGACATTTATGGTCAGCTTTTCAAAAAGAAAGTCAGGGCCCACCAGTGGGTGCTGAGCTCCCTTGAAAATCTGGCCCTATCTGTTTTATCTGAGGTTCAACCTGCTAACTCATGTAAAAACTATAAACTGCCTTGTTGGCACTCGGATTTTACCTTGAGTTAATTAATTCCAGTTAGCTAACTCAAGTTTTTGTGTTTGTGAAGACAAGGCCTAAGATTACCACAGAAGATTAAATACTCGCCTTATTGACATCAATGGGAGAACTTCCGCTGACTTCAAAAGGGCCAGGATTTCAGAGAGGAGAGAGAGATTCTTCATGCCTTTTGTTTTCCTGAGTCTTAATAACCATATATCCCCAGAACAGCTCCTTGAATCAAAATATATTTTCCAGAATCATACATCGTACAGATGGAAAGTCCTATTAGGTTAAGGGTGACCAGATGTCCCGATTTTATAGGGACAGTCCTGATATTTGGGGCTTTTTTTAATATGGGCTCCTATTACCCCCCCACCCTCTGTCCCGATTTTTCACAGTTGCTGTCTGGTCACCCTAATTAGGTTACTTATTCATCCCCCTCACCAATGCTGGATTGTTCTCTAGCATGTTTGCTAGTGGTTTGAGCTGACTTTGCTTTGAAGAGGTTAAAACTATTCACTTTGGAACTAATTCCTACAGGTGAGTTACCACTAGATATGTTTTTAATGCTACCACTTACAGCTACTTCAGTTTGAACTAAGTTGGAACTCAATTGTGTGGTAGTGTAATGGTGCAAGTCACCTGAGGTCATCCAGCTATTCCTAAGTGTAGTCACTGCAGCCAGTATATGGGTGGTATTTCTTAGGGGTTGCCTCATTCAATTGCTCCAGGATAGATATAGTTCTCTCAGAAGAAGTCAGAAATCTGTCTTCCCTTCAAAGTGTACGTGAGTGTCTCAGTGATTTTGACCTCTAAACAATCTACAGCCCTGTCTACACTGGGGATTTGTCCCAGTTACAGCCATTGGTGTAACTGCACTGGGTCAAACCTCTTGTGTAGGCAGGCAATGTTGCTATTTGCACCAGTGGTGCTAACCCCTGCTTGAAACCGAGGTAAGTGCCACTGGCATAACTAGGTTTGACCCAGTGCTGGTCACCAAGGGCTGTAACTGGGGCAAATCCCCAGTGTAGACAAAGCCTAAAGACTTAAGTTTTAATCAAAAGCAAGATAGAAAATCTTATTAAAGTGATAGAAATGGTCTACAGATTATACTCAGTAAGAGTTTAACGAGGTAGGCATAATTACAATGAGCAACATCTTACATTTATGAAAAATGTATCCTCTAGTGTTAATATCCCCATTCCCTCTGCCTTTCTTCCTGAGCAACCTGTGAGCAAGAACCCTCTCTCCTTCAGATAGTCTCTCCACCCTCACAGCCCTGTTGTAATTTTCAGTTTCTTTGAGGTTTTTGTGCTTATCATCACATCACCCTGTCAAGAACCAGAGCAGAGCCAGTTTCTGGGCTACCTAACAAGTGTAGCTGCAGTAGGTGGCCTGACTGGCTTTGCCGCCTGATCAGCTGTAAGGATCAGCTGACTGGCTCTTAAGCCTAGCCGCAATTCAGCGGCTGCTCCAAGCATCTGCCCACCGCTGTGGTAGCTTCTGTTTGTTCCCAGTCTTGCCTGACTTCAGCTCTGACCCTTGGCTCCAATTCCTGCCTATTGACTCCTGCTCTGACCATTGGGCCTGACCACCCATGTCCTGGTCAAATGCACCCGCTCAAAGTGGTGTACCAAGTATTTCTGCACACTGGGTATTACTGTCTGTCTCATGTCCATTGAATTTTTTTTTACAAAATCACTCGCTTTGTTTTTCCCATGTTGCTTTTAAAAGTTAGTCTGCCTAAAGGTGTATACAAATAATGACTGATGATTGTTATCAGGAGAAGATGTTTTCTGACCCTGAATGAATGTGCTAACCTTGAAAACAGGTTATTGTCTGCCTTACATCTGAGGTTACAGAGACAGGGCTCATCAAATTTTTATAATTTTTTCTACTCATTAAATTGATCCTATGTAAAATATGAATGATTGACATATTAATTCCAATCTACCACATTCTTCTTCCAAAAGTTATAGAAATCTTACTCTCCCTTCTCACAAGTATTAACAAAAAGGGAGATAATTTTGTTTGGTCTTTTTTATAACAACCATGGTTCATACCTCTATGGTACAGGAGTGGGAGTCAGGAGATCTGGGTGTTACTCCCAGCTCTGCCATTGACTACCTGTATTACTTTGGCACATCAGTTAACCTCTCTGTTCTGCAGTCTGTAAAATGGGCATAGTTATAGTTGCTCATCTTTGTGAGGTACTTGGAGATCTCTGAATGAAAAATGCTATGTAACGGAGATCTTCAGAGACTGAAAACTGTTGATAGGTACCTCCCCAAGCTTTCCCACAGAGGCACTCAGGCATAAGAACATAGGAACTGCCATACCTGATCTAACAAGTAATCCATCTAATACAGTATCTCATCTCCAGCACTAGCCAGTACTAGATGCTTCAGAGGAAGATGAAAGAAATCCCTTAATAGACAATTATGGAGTAACTTGCCCAGTGGAGAAATTCTTACTAACTTATGTCTATTAGTGGTTGGCTTATACCCTGAATCATGAGGGCGTTTAAATTTTGTACACACTTTTATCCAGTATAACGTAGTTGTGGATGTTCTAATTTTTCATAGAAATGTCTAATCCTTTCTTGAATCTTATTAAATTCTTACTTTTCAACTAGCAATGAGCTCCACAGGTTAATTATGTGATTGCGATTTGATTATATTTATTTTGTGCAAACAGAACAGATTCCAAACAAGTAATATATATACTTACTGTTTTAAAAGGGCCAATTTCAGAAAGTTGAAAGCAATTATGAGCCAAATCAGTTGAGAGTGTTTTTTAAACCACTGTAGTCTTTTTGGATTGTGGCTTTTTGGGCATCTAGTAAATTATTCTTATACCGTTCCCAATTATCATTCACATTTTCCTGTTTAAATTCTCTCTCAGCTGATTTGCCTCATAACAAACAAACAAAAAAACAGCCTGACTTAGAGGGGAAGTGAAAAAAGTTATAATATATGGCTTGGAAAGGTTAGATTTTTATTGGTAAATGTTGATAAACATCATCACACACAACAATGAAAAATATTTCCATCAATAATAGAAAATTACAGATAAGCAAAGTAAGAAAAATGCTGCTTGAGAACTTATTAGAGTTTGATTTAAGGCTAAAATCTTGACACATAATATTTGCAGTTTCTCTTTTAGTGGTTATAAAGCTTTACCTTTCTGAATCTGTGTCCAATGTCCTTTAATTATTACCTAACACGCCCCCATAATTTCCTGCAACTGTGAACATTTAAATAAATAAAAATAGGGAAGAAATGCTTAAAACCCATAATTTTGCACACTGTGAAAATTTAAATAAAAATTTAAAAAAGCTTCAAAATAAATCTTGAAATTACCCATCAAAATTAAAAAAAAAAATCAAATTCTGCCAAGTCTATATATACTTATATAAAAACAAATAGAAAAGAGAGGAAGTTGATAGCAGTGAATATAAATTAGAAGTTAGGAATTATAGAAAATTGATAAGGGAAACAAAAGGACACAAGGAGAAATCTCTGGCCAGCAGAGTTATGGAAAAGAAGGACTCTTCTAAAAAGTATACTAGGAACAAAGGAAATCCTACCAATGGTATTTGTCTATTACTAGCTTGAAATGGTAGAATTGTTGTTAATAATGCAGAAAAGGCACAAGTGCTGAATAGATACTTTTATTCTTGTTTGAGAAAAAGCCAGATGATGTATTCATATTATATGATGATGATGATCATCAACTACTTTCCATTCTAACAATAACTCAGGAGAATGTTAAACAGCAGCTACTGAAGTTAGCTACAGGTATTTTAAAATCAGTACATCCAGATAACTTGCATCCAAAAACTTTAAAAAGCTGACTGAGGAGCTTTCTTTAACATTAATGTTAATTTTCAGTAAGTCTTAGAACACTAGAGAAGTTCCAGAGGACTAGAAGAAAGCTAACGTTACACTAATATTTAAACAGGTGTGACAGAGTGCTGAAATCTGACAAGGTGGGTCATCACTCATCACTGTAGCCTCAGTTCTGCCAGTAACGCTGATTGGATAATTAGCTAATCAGAAGGTGAGGCTGAGGAGTTAAGGAACTAATTAGCTCTTAGATGAACAACCTTATAAAAAGATAGGAAGGAAGTGTTATGAGGGAGGATAGGGCTAGCTGAGCCTAGAATGAAGGAGCTTCCAACATAGAGTGAGACAGAGAGTGACGGATGGATCTATTTTCCTTCTAGGGCCCTAGCAAAGAAGTGTTGAAAGAGGTAAAGATTAAAATGGTGATATTGCACTGTACTGAGTTAGTGTTTGGGTTTAGAATAAAATACAGCTGGCACACAAGGTGAAAGTGGGTCTGAGCAGTTCCTGGGGCATCAGAGAATCAGGAGAGAGCATCTCCCCATCACAACAAGGTAAGCAGGATGATCTCGGTAACTATAGGCTTGTAGCCTGCCATCATTTCCAGGCAGATTAAGGGAATGGCCAAAACAGGACTTGATTGATGAGGAATTAAAGGAGAGTAATATAATTAATGCCAATCAACATAGCTTTATGAAAATAGTCATCAAACAAACTTGATTTTTTTTATAGGATTACAAATTTGGTTGCTAAAGGTAATAGTGTTAACATATTATACTCCTGTTCGGCATGGCATTTGACATAGTGCCACACAATATTTTGATTAAGAATGATACAAAATCAAAATGGTCTTAAAATGTAATTGTAGTGGGGTCCCTTAGAGATTGGATCTTAGCCCTATGCTCTTTAACATTTTTATCAATAACCTGGAAGAAAATAAAAAGAAAATCATTACTGACAAAGCAAGCAGATAACCCAAAGATTGGGGGAGTGCACTGATTTAGAGCTACCTGGATTGCTTGGTAAACTAGGTGCAAGCAAACAATGCACATTTCAATGTGGATAATTGTAAAGTCATACATATAGGAACAATGACTGCAGGCCATACTTGGAGGATGGGGGACTCTATCCGGAGCCGCAATGACTCTGAAAAGATTTTGGGATCATGATGGATAATCAGTTGAACATGCACTCACAGTGTGATGCTGTGGCCAAAAGTGCTAATGCAATCTTTGGCTGTCTAAACGTAGGAATATTGATTTGGAGTAGACAGGTTATATTATCTCTGTATTTGCTACTGGTGTGACTGCTACTGGAATGCTGTGTCCAGTTCTGGTATCAAGAATTTAAGAAGGATGTTGATAAAATAGAGAGCATTCAGAGGATAGCCGCAAGAATGATAAAGGATTGGAAAACATGCCTTATGGGTAGGGCCATTTTGGTCAATTTCATCATCATAGGATTTTAAAAATAATAAATGTCATGATTTCAGCTATTTAAATATGAAATCATGGTGTTGTAATTGTAGGGGTCTTGACCCAAAAAGGAGTTGTGGGGGGTTGCAAGGTGTGTGGGTGTGGGGATTGCAATACTGCTACCCTCACTTCGGTGCTGGTGGCGGTGCTGCCTTCAGAGCTGGGCAGCTGAGAGCAGCAGCTGCAGGCCGGAAGGCCTGTTCTGAAGGCAGAGCCGCCACCAGCAGCAGCGCAGAAGTAAGGATGGTATAGTATGGTATTGCCACCCTTACTTCTGCACTGCTGGCTTCAGAGCTGGGCACTCAGTCAGCAGCTGCCTATCTCCAGCTGCCCGGCTCTGAAGGCAGTAGCGCAGAAGTAAGGGTAGCAGTGGAGGGTGAAAATAGTTGGGTAGGGGGAAGAAAGAATGGCTAACAGGAATATATTTTGCTATAGACTAACTGCATGTGAAATTTGTGGATACAGTTTGTTTGTTTGGGTTTTTTGTAATTGTTAAGAGACAAAAAGGCAGATCCATAGTAGTAACCTATGGAGTATAACACCGTCCTAGAAGTCTTTTGCTCTCAAGGTTGACTCTTTTTTGTCAGGATTGTATTGACAATACTTTAAGCATGCTAGAATGATGAGCAGTAATTTTGGGATCCTTGTTTAAACATGTAATGAATTTTTTTTTTTAAGGGTGAAGCAGAAGTTAAAATTGAAGAACTTAACTTTGAACGCTGCACTATATTTAAACCTGCGTAAGTGATTGATTGTTGAAGTGTGAGTGGAAACTATTTATCACCTCTTCTTAATCTCTTTTTTTTTTTTTTTTTTTTTTAAGATTGATTTTATGTGACCGAGAAGAGTCCCGTCCATTGGAATGGTGTGCTAGAAAAATTCTGGGTTGCCTCTCTCATGTGATGTCTATTACTGCACTTTCTGTGCCCATTTCAACGTTAGCAAGAGCTATGGTGAATAATGCAGTAATCCCGAGTGACAAGAAGGTGGAGCTGTTAGAGAACAAGGATATCCACATGATTGGAAACCAAGATGAAACAAAGACCAGCTAAATGGTGTGATGTTATCAGATATTGTGCACTTCTGCCCCTCCCTAACAGCATCACCAATTCCTATTTCAGGATCCTATTCCTATTTACAATGCAGTAAAATTTTGTTAAACATTTGTGGTTTCTTCCTCCTGCCCCAGGATTATGAAATAGTAATCCATTACATTGTAAATCGTGCTGTACCATGCAAATCCTTTTATAAGGATTATGAGATTGTAACGATAGGCGTTGTTTTTTCAAGACATGTTGAATGAAAACGATACTTTTGCTGCAGAATTTTAATATGATTTTCATCCAGCCTATTACATGCATTGATCCAAATGAACAGGTGCCTTACGTTTATTAAATAGTATTTTAATATATGTAATAAGAAAAAGAGGTTTCAGTTACAAGACTGTGTGGCACATTCAGTCAGTTATTCTCAGAACTGAACATTAGCAAAGGGTGTGCAATGGAGCAAAGACTATGCAATCAGTGACCCTTCGCCCCTTCACTGGGAGAGAATTTCAGTATAACACAAAGAAGCTGCTGTTACTAGTTTTGCTGCTGTCAGCCAGGGACCGTTTGGAGAATGGTTGCTGTCGAATTTGTGCTTGTGATTATGTTATTGACTAAGTGTAGAGGGAAAAATAATTTATCTAATGATTTTAAGTCATTTCCATTTATTGCAACTAAGCCTTGCTGCATAAAGTTGGAACCATTTGGCTTGCAAAGGGTTCTTGTGTAGATGAATTAAACAAGAAAATACGTTTGCAAAGGGTTCATACTGTTTCCTAGTCTTAGGGATTCCTTATTATACATTATATAGGAGAAACCCTATAGAAAAAATCTTTATCAGTATCAATGGTTGATTTTGATAAACAATGTTTGAAGAGTCACTAGTAATATGATATACCTCAATTTTTATAATCAGAGATGGGTCCAAAGGAGACCTTATAAAATAATCTACCCCCTTCAAACTTCACTGAGGTGGTGCTTTTGATGTGGAAATTTTAATTTAACATTCAGACATATGGTTTTGGTACTGGGTCAGATGTAAAATTTAAGAGGCCAGTGTTCTGGTTTCAATGTCACAAAATTCTTTGACTTCTTCACAGGTGATTTTTTTTTTTTTTTTTTTTTGCCCAAGGTAGTAGAAGTTTAGAGTGACTTCTGTGATTCTGGCGTTGAGTAATTTGAACCAAAAGCCTACTCAGAATCTAATCTGGATCCAAACACTTTAGATTTTTTTTTTTATCTATCCATTTATAAACTGTTCTTAGTCATTGCTATTGTATTTAAGCCCCTTCTTTGCTTAAAATAGGAGTAGGAAAGAGAAGATGAAAGCCAGGTTTTGGAGGGGATACTAAAATTCCCTGGGCCAGATTCTGTTCTCAGTTACACCCCTGTAGATCTAGAATTACGCCACTGAGAGCAGTGGAGTTACTCTGAATTTACTGTGCTGTAACTGAGATCAGTTTCTGACTTGGTCCCAATGTGCTAATAATTAGAATTTGGGCCAATAGCCCAAAAAGTAATGCTGGTGTTCCCTCTGGTGGTTGTACAATGGCAAATAACTAATAAGCACTGTCCAAAGGGCTATATATAGACTAACACGGCTGCTACTATAAAACAAGAATTAAAGGAGATTAAAAGGAAATACATGACAGTATCTTTCTATATGAAAACCAAAGTCCCAAACCTGCATTACTTTATGTTGGGTTTGAATCTGTTTGTCACACCAAAAAATCAGTATGCATCCCTCTGGAGCTGTGTCAGTTTGTTAACCAGGTTACAGTGCTTAGCTGACATTACCAGTGCCAGAAGGGTGCACAGCATGTACTTATTGTTGCAAATAGGAGGTGTCACAGTCAAATAGAGTAGCTGGATTTAAAGGGAAGGCTAGATAATTTCATGGACCATATTAATATTTGTAACTATGCAAATTTAAACGGAGCAATCAACTCTGGTGCTTGAGGGCATATGATCACTGCAGGGGGCAGGAAAGAATCCAGTTCCTCCACCTTTCCTCTCTGTGCTTCATTGCACAATTGGTGCTTGATCCAATTCCCATTCAAGTCAATGGAAAGGCTTCAGTTAGCTTCACTGGGAGATGGATTGAGTTTGTCAGGCAGAGGGTCAATCAGAATAGTAGACTTGATAGGCTGTGTCATACCAGGTCAGACCAATGGCCAATCTTCTTTGATGGTGGTCCTCGTACTTTATATTCATCAGTATTTCATATTGCAAATTAAAATAATTTTGAAAGCTATTGTACCTTTTGAATGAAAATTAAGGATCTTTGTTGCAATAAATAGTAAAAAGCTGGTGCCAAACTTTGAAACAGTTGATTTTTCTGCCTTTTTAGATATTTAATTTTTTTAACTAGTCACAATGACACTCATCTTTGATAAGAAAGGGTGAATCACTTTGCTTTAATTTCCTTTAAGAAATAATTTAAATCCAAAAATGGTAACTAGCATTATGTTAAGTGCCTGATTTTATTATTCTCTCTAAGTTCTTAGCAATAAGATAAGTAGTAATAATTATAACATATAATTATAGACCCGCAGCTTGTGTAAACTGGAGTAGTTCCATTGACTTCAATGATGCTATATTGATTTACATCAGCTGAGGACTTTCTCTGTCACAGATGTACATACATATGTACTTGATGCCATAAATTTACACAATGCATCTTATTATATGTTTGAAAAGCAATCCGTGTCCCAAGCAGTTTACAATCCACATATACACATGTGATTTTATATATATATATACACACACATACAGTCAACTGAGGCAAGGATTGTTTGCAAAGCACCATGTACATGTATATATCAGTATTTGAGTAGAGTTTGTATGGACTTCAGATGGGCACTGCAGATGTCAAGGAGGCCAGAGAAGAGGAGTTATCTGGAATCAAGACAAGAATCAAGTAAAGAAAAATCTATAGCTAGGCAGAGCAGTCAAGCATAGAGTGGCAAAATATGGCAAATACCAAACAAGATGTTAATAACGGCAATTTCAGCAATCACTTATGATTCTTAATCTCCTGCATATTTTTTTTGCATTTATTTCCCAGTCACGTGTTTACTTATACCATGATCCCTGTCCCTTATACCACTGGGCTTGTACTACTGTAAAAAATAATGGCGTGCAACTTATGGAACAAAAAGGCAAAGAACAGTGTGGCCATTGATGTATATTACAGGCTAGTAAATATACTTGATTCCATTATTAATATTTTTGTTACTACTGACTCCAAGTCTTAAAAAGAGGCTATGTAAAGTAATGTTTTATGATATCTATTAAGACACTGAATATTGTAAAATCAATATGAATTAAATTGTATTGTTTAATAATTAGTACTAAAGTCCTGTGCCTAAACATGTTTTCTGCTTATCAAATATTTGTTAAAATATATTTAAAGTGTTTCTAAAAATAACAGCTGCTGCATATTTTTTAATGTTAGAAAATGTAACATGCACTCTCCCTTTCTTGATTTTTGTTTTGTTTTAAATGGAATCCGGTCCTAAATTAGGATATGTATTATTTTTCTTAGACAAATTTTGCTATTGCAGGTTTGTCTCTTAGTGTACTTGTTTTTCCTCTCATTCCCCACAAGGTGGACTCATCAGCTTTCTGGGCCCGGGAAACATACAGATGAAAACATTTAGTAATAGCATGAATTGTACAGTATGTGTTGTTTTTAAAGTAAATAGTATTGCCACCTGCAAAAGCTCAAAAATCATGAGTAAGTCACCTCCCCTCCTCAAATAATGAGGTTTAATTAAAAAGATGTGATGTTTTTTAATCTGTCTTCTGATTTTTGGACTCCTGCTGCGCGTGGGTGTGGGCGAGAGAATGAATATAGTGTTGCTAACACTCCCAGATCTATAAAGTAAGGGAATTTTTGGCCCTGGCTTCAGGAGCTCTCACGGAGATCAAATTATAAAGAGCTGTATAAAATGCTCCATGATAGGGTGCAGCTTCCCCTTTTCCTGAAACCCCAAAATTTTAATTTGCCCCCCAGTTCTACATCTGCTGTCCCCCCAGTCCATGAATTATGCAACCTCCTAGCCCCACATCTGCTCCTTGCCCCTCAGCACAGATGCCAGCTTCTAGTTGTGCTTGGGGATGCTCAACCCCAGGCCCTGCCCCCTCCACCTCTTCCCCCAATGCCCCACCCCTACCCTGCCTCTTCCTGCCCCAGCTCTGCCCTTATCCTGCCTCTTTTTGCCCCCTCCCCCCGAGCATGCCTCATCCCCGCTTCTCCCCCTTCCTTCTACTGCCTCCTGTACCCTGCAATGAAGCTGATCGCAGCAGGTGGGAGGGAGGAGGAGGAGTTGATTAGCAGAGCCACTGGCAGGCAGGAGGCACTGGGGGCAGGGGAAGAGGGGAGCTTGGCTGCTGGTGAGTGCTAAGCACCTGCAATTTTTTTTTCTGTGGGTGCTCCAGCCCTGGAACACCCATGGAGTTGGTACCTATGCCTCTCAGTGCATCTCTGCAGCTCCAGGGGTTCTTCACCCCCTTCTCCCAGGCCTGGGGAGAAGCTTTAAGGGTTGTTTAGCTTAGTGGGGCAGCTTGTGACATTGAGGTTCCTTGGCAAAGGGTCTCCCTGTTCAAAGGCGACGTGTAGGGCGGGTGCACATGTCTCCCCCCCACATTTCTGCCAGGGTTTGCCAGCCCTGCTCAGTCACATGGTGTGACTGGCCCCTCTCCCTGCTTTGCAGCTGTCAGACCCAGTGAGCTCCAAGCTGTGCCCCATGGGGAGAGGCAGGAGCTGCAGGGAGGGGCTCTGCTTTCCAGGAGGGGAAACTGAAGGTAAGGGGGGGTCCTACCTGAGGGGTGTGTGTGACTTGAACTGTTCCAGAGACAGCTGAACCTTTAAATTGTGTCTCCACCCCCTCACTAATAGCAGTGGTCTCTGCCCGTTCTTTGGAAACAATTCTCATGTCTGACCAAACATGTCTTGCAGAATATTTAGACATAAAGAGTAACCTGAGATATCTATAGAAAACTTGTAACTGGTCAAGATTCATAATCATTGCAAGATGTATGCACAGGTAATAGTTAAGGAATAATGTATTTATATTGAAAGCATGGTTTATGGACTTGGAATAAAAGTTAATCACCAGTGGATATTATGTCTGTGATAGCCCATTTGAACAGGAGGGAGTTGTCACCCCATGCTGCTTAACAAGTGATGTAATCAAGACTAAATTGTCTAGCCTTGCTCCATCCCAAAACTTTTAATGGAAAACCATCAGA